TATAATTAATATCGTTATGTACGGGATGAATTACCATTGACTGCAGATTTTGAAGGACAGTAAACCGTTCCATAAAGACCACTACAAAATGCTGCTACTGACGAAATTGCCAAGATATGACCGTGATTTTTTTCGATCATACTTGGTAAGAATGCTTTTAATGTCTAAAAGTAATATCACTGTGTAAACAGCGTTTTACAAAAACTTTATGAAATACTTGTCCAAATCGCATGTGCATTATATTTAACAAGAGTAATTTTTTTATAAAGTACACGTACTGGAAAGCGTAAGCCTAAGTTGTCTTTTTGTTGACGAAACAACATGTGGAGTAATAGCGTTCTTGTTGTATTCCCTTAGACTAACACTTTGTGTGCCTTAACTTCTTCTTTACGTTGTTCTTTCTTTTCAAAAAAAGGCTAGAATATATTGTAGTTATATCATGTTACCATGTTCTTATCAGTTTTCAGTTTATCTATTGAACCAAACTTTATCATTTCTCATGGTACGTTTAATAAAGAAAAGCGAAATTTTTAAGTATATGCAAGTAATAAAGTGAAGAAAAACTACTAATTTAAAAAGTATAAAATTTTAGTAAACATTTCAGTTTTGACATCTTATAAAATACATTATCAGAAATGCAAATGGAAATAGTTTGCAGAAGGCAAAAAGTCTTGTTCCGTTTAATAGAAATAATGAAATGTACGTGGCAAGACTATATTGCAATACATAATCATTTTAATCTTTTTTAGAAATGAGTAGAGGAACAATTTAAAAAACATCTTAAGGGAATACAATTTGTTACAAGAACATTATCAATACACGTGCCATTTTATTATAAAAAAATAATTTATGTCTAATACCGTAATTTCGAGAAAAATTGCCAATGCACTGTGCTACTAGGGTATGCTATATGTGTAATTTCACTTCTGAGCAGCAAGCTTATAAATGTATTTGTTTCCAAAATGACAACAGTTGCAGTAATGTTTATGTCTAATAACTTTTAGTTTCGACATATGTCTCGGAGAGAGATACATTACTTGCCCAATAATGCGCTATCACATTGACGTCTATGACCCGTTGAATTTCGTCGAAACTCTGATTCAGGAGTGGTTTAATATACGCTATACCGGCATTGTTAATCAAGATAGTAACATCACCTACTTCTTTTTTTACTTTCCTTGATACCTTGAAGACTTCTTCTCTATCCGTTACATCACATCTGTAAAAAACACGGTCCAATTTGATACATAGTTCAAGAAGCAATGCACAAATATTAAGTTAATCGTTTCGTGCTATTATTTAGACGCTGCAAATATATTTCATCAAATTGCATTGTAAAAGGCAGCATTAACTTACCGATATGCATAAACGGAGTCTCTTCCCATTTTCTTAATGTCGTTCATCGTCTCGTTGTTTGTTTCTTCATTGATATCCCAACACACCACTGTCGCTCCTAACGATGCATAACCAATCGCTAATTCTTTTCCGATACCATGGCCTGCACCTGTTATCTGTGATAATACAAATATAACATATACACCCACATCAAATTTTAAAATATGACCGTATAATTTTAATAATCTTTTCACATAATAAAACTAATAGATTTTGTTATGTGTCTTTTCTATATGTATAATGATATCCATATTTAAAATTTCATACGAACCAAAACAATTTCACCAGCTACGCTCTTTTTCTTTATTGGGACGATCAATCTGTATATATCCTCGCAAATATAATACAGAACTTTCAGAGCTAACCATAATATCTTTGCCGCAAGTAGTAAGATATTATATGTTTTTGTCACAA